AAGCTCTTATAAACATAAGTACTATCTTTAGTTCAGTAACTCTTCCAGACTCTATAAAACAACTTGTCTGGTCCAGGAATGCTGCTTATAGGTATATACCCAAAAGAATTTTTAAAAGGTACTGAAAAAACTATGTGTTCATGAATATTCTCATAGCATTATTTATAAAATCCAGAAGGTGGAAACAACCCAAATGTTCATCAACAGATGAATGGGTGAAAAAAATTATATGTGTGTATATATACATATATATACAAATATATATATAAATATTTATATATATATGTATACACATACACACACAGTCACACACACACACACACATGCAATAGTACATTACTTAGCCATGAAAAGGAATGAAATACTGATATATGCTACAATGAGAATGAGTATCAAACTGTCGTGCAAAGTGAGAGAAACTAGACATGAAAAACAACATAGAGCATGATTCCATTAATATGAAATATCCAGAATAGATAAATCTATACCTTCTGAAACAGACTGGTGATATATAGGGCCTGGAAGAAGAGGGAATAGAGAATGAAAGCCTGCATAATGTATATAGGGTTTTGAGCTGATGAAAATGTTTTGAACTCGGTAGAGGTAGTGGTTACACCACATTGTAAGTGTATGAAGTGATACAGAATTGTATACTTTAAAATGATTCATTTCACGTTATATAAATTTCACTTCAAATAGCAAAAAGAAAAAGAAAGTCTGTAACTGCATCTTTTGTACAAGGTTACTTAATGACAGAGGATAGGACCATCTAGTGATTTTTAGATAACACATTACCTAAACACTGCAAAGCAGTCATTTTTAATACTTATTAGTCTAACACTTTTTATTTGGTTGACCAAGCCGTGCCCCTAGAGAAGACAGCATTTAAGAAACAGTGTCATTTGACTTTATCTGTAAAATAATCAACTTGTCTTTCAAAGGTGCCAGCTATTGGCAAGTGCCAAGAATGATTTCATCCAACCAGTTTCTGAGATTTCAAGTTTACTTTCCTTTTCTGCTTCCTGATCATATACAAACTCAGATGTATTCCAAAGTATTGTCAAATATCTAGTATTAATAAAGTGGGAATAAAGCAAGAAATATTTTAGAAACTTGTTTATGAAAAGCTTATAACCTGGTTAAAAGTTGTCAATTTTGAACATGTACTTAAAGATTGTACTGAGCCTTTTAGCTGTGCAATCTGGTTTGCTTATAGCATAGATTTCCAAACCTGTGGTAAGCACTTTGAGAAGTGTGAGTTACTTATTAGTTACTTATTAGTTACTTATTAGTAAAACACCAGGACCAGCATATAGTGTAGTGTTTAAGTCTGAACTTAACCACTGTACTCCCAAATGGCGAACTGTGGTTCGAGTCCAGACCCAGTGGCTTAAAAATCACACTGGACATGTGCATGTATGTGTGTGTGCCCAAGATCCTGAGATCCTGAGAGGAGAATGGAAGGGAAGGGACTATGGCATGGTCATTCCTCACCCCCCCTCAAACCCCAAGATTATTTCTCACTTTCCTTCTCACTATCTCTGTCTCTCTGGCAAGCACATGTGCCCTAAGGCAAAAAAAAAAAAAAAAAAGACTCTTAAAAAGAAAGAGAGAAAAAATGTAAAAAAAAATAGAGAGAGAGAGAAAAAGTAAACTCAAAATGCGTACCTTAGCAAAAGTTAGTTGCATCTTTCTTTTTGTGATTCATTCAAATTTTTATTGAGCTGCTATGGCAATAAAACGGTGATTTTTTTTTTTTTTTGAGAGGTTTTCACTATAGGGCACATGCGCTCACCAGACAGAGAGAGATAGAAAGCGAGAAATCACCCCCCCAGGGGGGATGGTCACGCCGCAATCCCTTCTCCTCCATTCTCCTCTCAGGATCTTGGGCACGCACGCACACGCGCCCAGCGTGAGTTTTAAGCCACTGGGTCTGGGACGTGAACCACAATCGATTACGTGGGAGTCCAGTGCCATAGCCATTACGCTAACCGCTGGTTCCCATAAAAAGGTGATTAAAACATAGGGGGAAAAAGATGAGGCAAATGTACAAGTAATAGAAAGCAAAGTGTAAGATTCACTTATCCAGAGCAGACAAAGAGACACAGGGGAAAGAGATTGCTTCTAGCCTGGAAGGGGGCATGAATCAGGAAAGACTGAGATTAAAATAGACTTCAGTCTGGATTGTTGATGCTACCCAGTATGGACTATATTAGTCTCTCCTTTTCCTCTCTCCCCATCTTTGGGCTTAATTTACCAGTAGCACCCAGAAATGTTCAATGTGCTTCTTCAATACTTGCTTGCATTTTTGTTTTTATTTCATCTACAGAACTAGGTACTTTTGGTGTTTTGGGTGTTTTATCCTGTTATTTATTTATTTATTTATTTATTTTAATGATTCTTGACCTTTTGATCTTGCTGTTGATGTTTTTAAATCTTTTCAATCTGGTTTGATTTTTGAGCATTTTTGTAAGGAGTATCTCATATAGATGTAGGCACTGGAACTTTATTTTTGTTTTTCTCATCTTCAAAATCATTATCATCATCATCATCATTATCATTATCATCATCATGACAAGGAAGCTGTATCTTTCTGATAGAGGATGCCATGTATTATGAAGGTCTACCAAATATGTTTTTAAAAACAATAATTATTATTGTGATTCAAAGCCGTCATTCAATTTAGGGTTTTTAGAATTTATTTAAGATTTATTTTCATATATCCAATGACTTGGTATCCAACTCTGTGACCTAGTGTTATGGGAGCCAACCCCACTTGGCCAGCCATGAGGTTCAAGTTCTGGACCTAGTGGTCCGAGAATACATTAGGCACATGTATGTGCATGGTGCAAATCTCAACGTGATGGGGAAATACAAGAGAAGGGATCATAGAACGACCACATTCTTTTGGGAGATGCTTCCTGTCTCTCTGTCTCTTTCTGGCAAGCATTCATACCTTCTGGCAAAAAAAGAAAAATAAATGACTTCGGTATATAAACACTACAGACATTTCTCTTGTACTAGTCATATAATCATTCTGTCCTTTTTCAATAGTCAATAAAAATATTAATAAAATGTACAGTATTTAGTAATTACTTACTGTGTGTCACATATTATATTAAGAACTTTATATTCATTATTTCATGAAATCATTGAATCAGGTTCATGATATACGGTCTTTTATATTCTTTTCATTGCATAGTATAGATAGGAAAATTAAGGCCTAGAGAGCATAAGTAACTTTTTTCTTAAGCCAAAAGACTGGTAAATATCAAAGACAAAATATGAATCCCGATCTATTAGATACTGAGTTTGTTTGTTTGTTTGTTTTAGGTTTTCACCACAGGGTGAGTGCACTTGCCAGACAGAGACAGTGAGAGGGAAAGGGAGTAATCACAACCCAGGAGAAATGACCATATCACAATCCCTTCTCCTCCATTCTCCTCCTGGTGTTTTGGGCATGCGCGTATATGGGCCTGTAATGTTTTTTCTAGCCACCAGATCTAGGACTTAAACTGCAGTCAGCCATGTGGGAATCCAATGCCTTAAACACTAAGCCACCTGCTGATCCCTAGAAGTTATTTTCTTAACAATTAAGCTTTTTTAATATACTTGATTTTTAAAAAGGGAAAAAGCCAATAAGACATCAATAACATTTATTTATATTATGAATGCATACTAAAGAAGGAAATTTATATTATACAGATATAGATATATCACTTATGTAATTTTTTAAAATATTCAATTTGGCTACATCTGCTTTCTTTTTTCTAAAATAATGAGTGAAGCCAAATCACTCTACTAAAATAATGTATTATACAGAAATACCAATAAAATGAAGCCCATAGACATAAGTAATAATGAATGTAATTTAGGTCACAAACATATTAAAGAGTTAGTTCTTACTATTTTAATGGAGTGAGAAAGTTGCACCTTACCTATCACCAACAGGTTTATTTCTGAGGAAAAAAAAAATGCTTTCACCTTTTCTTTCAATTTAAAACTTGAGATTGAATAATAATATTGTTTCCTTATACTTTTCTAGTTTAATTGTTAGAATTAATCAAGCAGTCGGGAACCGGCAGTTAGCGTAATGGCTATGTTGCTGGACTCCCATGTAGCCAACCACAGTTCACGTCCCGGACCCAGTGGCTTAAAACTCACGCCAGGCGCGTGTGTGTGCATTCCCAAGATCCCGAGAGGAGAATGGAGGAGAAGGGATTGCAACGTGACCATCCCCCCTGGGGGGTGATTTCTCGCTTTCTGTCTCTCTGTCTCTGTCCGTCTGGCGAGCACACGTGCCCTATAGCGAAAACCTCTCCAAAAAAAAAAAAAAAAGAATTAATCAAGCAGTCATGGAAATGTTTTAAAAATCTCTTCAACTATGATTATATGATTTAAATTGTGTCGATCTCTCAAAAAAAAAGAAAGAAAAATACATAGCCAAGAAATAAAAAATGAGAATGAGAAAGAACATTCTGATATCTTTTCTGCCTTTGATATTGTGAGCGCTTTTAACTGAGCAGACTTTACCTACTATAGTGAATGATCAGAGATTTAAGTTAGGGATATTTGTGAGCTGTCTTTCTCAACAGAGATAATTTGTTTTTTATTTTTATTTTTATTTTTATTTTTTGGAGAGATTTTCACTGTAGGGCGCGTGCGCTCGCCAGACAGACAGAGAGAGACATAGAGACAGAAAGCGAGAAATCACCCCCAAGGGGGGATGGTCACGCCGCAATCCCTTCTCCTCCATTCTCCTCTGGGGATCTTGGGCACGCACGCACACGCGCCTGGCGTGAGTTTTAAGCCACCGAATCCGGGACACGAACCACGGTCGACTACGTGGGAGTCCAGCGACATAGCCATTACGCTAACTGCTGGTTCCCTCAACAGAGATAATTTGTTTACTTTAAATTATTGTTGCTTTACTGTTTCTCAAGCTATATGATACCTAAGAGCTTGTTTACTTATTTATCTTTGTTTTCCCTCTGCCACAGGTTGGGCTCTGTCAGCCTTGAATCTGCTGTCCCATATTCCACTGATGGAAGTACTGCAACAGCTGTAGAAGTTTGTCAGTGCCCTCCAGGGTATGCTGGCTCCTCTTGTGAAGTAAGTTTGCAAAAGCATATCCTCAAAGCTTTCTAAGGCCCTTCAATATAATTTTTAATAAACCATGCTGTAAAGAATTTATCGACTCAATCATGATACAACACAGATAGTGCCATTGTGTGGAAGGCTAGAAGCTACACAGGAAACTCAGTACGGCTCCTGGGCCAACCCAAACATGCCAGGCACAACCTAGCTATTTGGAAGCTGGGGAAAGAGAATGGCGACTCAGCAACACCCTCTCAATAATGCCTGTCTCTTTCTCTCTCTCTCTTCTCTGTGTCTTTGTCTCTCTCATAAGAAGGGGGGGAAAGTTAATTTTTCATCAATAATTGCACCAACAAGTGATAGTATATCACTTAAAGAAAAAAGTTGAGTATGTACCCCAAAGTCATGGCTGTCAAATAGAGTGCTAATCACCTAATGTCATCTTGAAAATATATTTCTAACTGAAGTATTACTATAACTGAAACTAATGTTTCCATAATTATTTGTTTCCTGTTTAATTGATTGCAGGCTTGATAACTGCAAAGTAGTATTTCAAAATATTTTGCCTTTTTCCATTTCAGTGGTTATCTAGAAAGAATTTAGCCTTATTTTAAGAAACTTTCTCTTGCTTTTTAAATTCTGTGTATCACTTTTCCTATACTTCATGTTGAAGAATAAACCCAAGTCACAATCACCTGAAGCATGCAATATTTAGAATGTCAAGAAACTAATAGATGAAAATAATTCCTTATTCTAGAAAATCCCCTACAGATCTTTGATTTGTTTAGCACTTGGAGTTTCAAATATTTCTTCTTGTCTTAATATTCTAGATTTGTAATCAGATTAATGTTTCTTACTTAATACTAATATGCCATTTTAAGGTCATAATTTTTCTTCACTTATATGTGTTTTCTTTTCGGTAGTTTGAAAATTGGTTTTACTTGAAACCTGGTCAAAAAATGTAAACACCATTTCCCTGATATAGGGCATGGCTTGCAGATAAAGAGGAGCAACTCTTTGAAATGGTGCCCTTAAGGAATCATTTGAGTATACCAAGATGTTCCACTTCAGAACACTATCCCATTATGCCATTTATAGAAATACTCTAGGCATTGCTTTGTCAGTTCTCTTGTAATTTAAAATAATGCATACTTCCAGAGACACACAGGGCTTAGAGTCATATTCATAAAAAAAAAAACTGTTTTCTTTAACTGGGCTCAGATCTGCCTATCTAGAAGTAAAACTAAATTTAATTCATTGAAGTACTTGCTTCTTTGAAATTCATGTAGAGAGGAGAAAATAATCATGGATATAAATTAGGCATGTCAACCCAAATTTGATTGTACATGTAAAATACATGCTGTATTTGATGAAACATATTTTTTATTAAGAGCCTTCCAGTTTTGATTTCAAATCACAGTACTCTGAACTTTTAAGTTCCTTTTTCAATTGGAATAATAAAAATCTTAATTCTATTCTTGCTTTAATGCTTATTCCCCTATCAGTTATTCTCAGTCTTTTTCATATTTTATAGAAGTTCTAAATGTCTATTGAATATAAAATTCTCTGTATATTAGAATTGTTTAATTAGCTCTGTGTTGGGCTCTTCCATTCCTTCTTCAAAAATATTTTTATAAATTCTGTGTATATTTGGCAACTTCTGAAAATTTATCTGTATGAATTATCAATAAGCATACAGCATAATGCCTGTCCTTAAAGAGCTAACAATCTGTTTAGGGAGGCAGAATAAATACATATGAAAAATTACATCACAGCACTGTATAATCAAGAGATCAGTAAGTGGTACAGAGCATAAGCGCCACAATCATTCAAGGTGGTGAAGTTATTCCAGGAGAGAGAGCTCACTTGTAAGATATTCTGGCGTGGAAAAACCTGAAATTAAATAATAAAACAATGGCAACTGATAGAAAGAAGCATGAAAGTATGAAAAAGAAAACAGAGAAGCAGAGGAAGGATTATGAAAGCTGCCTATACCTCTCATACAATACATGTTTGTTTAACAATATGTTGAAATCTACAGAAAATAATATAATTGAATGAGAAGATAATGAATTATGGAACTCTGGAGTTTCTCTGATTTCTTCATGTCTTCTACTTTCCAATTATTCCTTCCTTTCATTTATGTATTTATTTTTATTTAAAGCTTTCTACCCCTAGACTCACCATTAACTAGTTCTGTCTTTTCCTGATTTCATTTGCTTTTTTATTAAGTTTAGTTCGTAAGGTTAGTCACTCCAGCTTTGTTATCACTGAAATCCTGAATCCCTTAAAAGCTGAGTAAACTCCAAAGACCATTAATGTCTTAATTCTAGCTTGCTGTGAACCACCAGTGAAAAACAAATCAAATAACTCCATTATAGATATTATCTTTTATTTCACTTAGGAACACAATGTTGATTCAGAATCTTTTCTCTCACTTCTTATAAAGTGCTCCACAGTTAATCTCTCAAGTATTTTTTTACTTCCCTAATACTACCATAATTCATCTCACTTGACAAGTGAGACAGATGAGGAAGTAAAAGCAAAGTAGAGTGCCGTGAAGAGTTTTAGACCAAAGCTCAGTTTTTTTCTTCTATATGATGGAAACAATATTAACCACCTCCTAGAAATAATCATGCATTAATTTAGCTGATAACTATTTCCTTTATAAAGTTTCTTTCTTTGATGAGCAAGAAGGGCAAAGAAAGAGAAAAAGATAGAAAGACAACAATTCCAATGGGGTCCAAAAATTGTCACCTGTCCCCAGCTTCTGTCAGTCCCAGATCTTTGGCACCTACATGCTGGTATATTCAGGGTGGTCTCTAGACAAAAATCTGATCTTTCCCCTTTGGGTCAGCTTCACAGAACATCGTATTTTATTGCTATACCACTCTGTCCAGCCCCTTAACTAACAAGTATTCAATGAGGTAGTATTTCGAGACAGACAAAACCCTAGACAAGGAGTATAATATAATAAAGATTACAAATATGGTTCCTGTCCTCAAGGACATTATATTTAGGGATGGACTTGACAAAATGGCAGAAAGCAAATGTAAAGAAATGTGATAAATGCCATGAAAAAGTAAATAGGGTGAAACAAACAGACTGCCATGATAGAGTTACTAGGAGCAGGGGTACAAAGATTAGATAAGACAGTGGTTATATGAAGATTGGATGTCCTGGTTTATAAAGTTTATCAGGAAAGGTTTGCTGAGGCAATGAATGTACACTAGTATTACAGATTAAGAGAGGCAATTATATATGAAGAGCTGGTGGGAAAGTAGCACAGAGCTTGGAAGTGACGAGAATCTGCAACACAACAAGTATGGCCAAGCTTAGCAAGTGAGGAGAGAGTGCCAAGATGTGATTGGAGGAGCCAGGCCACTCAGAGCATTTTATGCATGGTAAGAACTGGAATTTCATTTTGAGTACTATGGAAAACCATTAGTAGACTTTAAACAGGGTAGTGTTTAAATCTGAGCTTACTCTCATCTGAGTTATCCTTTTTTAGAAAGTCATTATGTTTACAGTGGGAGGCATGAAATGTAAGAAGGAGAATGGTTAATATGCGATTGCAGTGGAACATAGCAATAATGATAGTTTATATTGGGAGGATGTCAGAGGATGGAGAGAGATACACATATTCTTTCTATATTTCAGTGGTAGAATCATTAGGACTTACTGACCTCCTGATAGATTGCATGCCAAGGGAGAGAAGAAAAAAGTTTAGGAATGAGTCATAGAGTACAATCTTGAACAATTGAATGATTGGATGTTATGCCATTTGCTGAGCTGGAATAGACCGAAAGAAGAAGTTGCTTTTTAAATTAATTCTATTTCAAACCCAGTATTTCTAAAGGGAACTGTTGATTCCATCCCTTGGGGCAGGAGAACAAAATGGAATGAGCATTTTACTTTAGAAATATTAGGTTAGAAAAAGCTGTGATGTGTAAATGTTAATATATAGTTGGAAAACACAGATCTTGAACTCAGTATTTTGGTCTGGTCTAGAGATACGTATTTGAAAGACATCATTAAACAATAGGATTGAATAAAATTGCCCAGAATGTAGTGTGACAAAACAGAAAAATCATCAAGCCCCACCCTGAGGAGCTCCTGACAATGACAAGTGGGGTCAAAGAATATCACACAGCAAAGAGGTAGGGAAGACATTTGAAAAGTGTCATATCATGGAAGTTGAGAGAAGAAGGTATCTAAGGGAGGAAGGAATCAAAACCAAAGGATGATGAGAGGTCAGATAAAATGCAATCATAGAAGTGTCCCCTGGATTTGGCTACCTGAAATTTGGTGACAAGGACAAGAACAGTTTTAACTAAGTGGTGGTAGCAAAAGACAGATTACAATGGAATGAAATGCAAAAGGAAATGAAGATGGGAAGACTTATTTTTTGTTTTTGGGGGGGAGAGGTTTTTGCTATAGGGCACGCGTGCTCACTAGAAGGACAGAGAGAGACAGAGAGATAGAAAGCCAGAAATCGCCCCTCATTAGGGATGGCCACACCACAATCCCTTCTCCTTCATTCTCCTGTCAGGATCTGGGGCACACACACACACACACACACACACACACACACACACACACGCCAGCCATGAGTTTAAGCCACTGGGGCTGGGACTCAAACCGCGGTTGACTCTGTGGGAGTCCAGTGACATAGCCATTATGCCAACTGCAGGTCCCAGAGGATGGGAAGACTTTGTGAAGTAGTTTTACTCTGAAAAGAAAAAAATGGGTAGGTGACGAGAAAATGTACATGTCGTTAAGAAAGTAATTTTGTCATTTTTGTTATTCGTTAGTTAAATTTTGATAGAGGCACTACATTCATGGGAATGACGCAGTAGAAAAGAAGCTATTACCAATGCAGCAGAAAGAGGGAATGTTGCAAAGATAACAAACTGGATCCATATTATAAGAGGAGTAATATTCCTTTTACCGGAGGAAGGCTCATCCATGCCCCATTCTTGTCATTCTGGAGAAGAATGTGGCAAAGATGCATGGAGACATAAGCTTATTCCTTTCAACTTGGTAGTAGAAAGATAACTTTTGGTAGTTTTAATTTTTTTCTGTGACCAAAAAAATAAAATACTTGACTGATATAGAAGTATAAGGAGTTGAGAAGTTTGAAGAAAGATGTCGTCTAAGTAGTACCTTTACAGAGGAGTAAAACAAAATACTTATTAAAGAAAATTCCATGAATATCTGCCCTGAAACCACTTAATCAATTCTCTTCTTATTCTCAACATCCTTAATTTGTACTCCCTTCTGGATATATGCTTTACCAATTCTTAAAAATATATGTGACAGAAGGAAATCACTTCTATAATGAATCTAGTGAGGCAAAATTTTAATAGGGAGAAATTATTGGAAAGAGAGAAAATCGACAGCTTTTCTCTGTACTGCTCAAATTAAGAGGAAAGTTGATTTTATTTTATTTTCAGATATGAGGTATCAGTATAACCTTTTTTTACACGTTTGTTATTGATGTTCAAATTTAAGAGTTCTCATATCCTGAGGCAGAAGAAACATTTCCAACAATACACAACACAATTCTCTATACTTTATTACTTCAGTGGCTTCTCTCTTGTATCCATTTTCAATGAGAAAGAAAGGGCCATTTCATGATACATGATGGTGCACTTAACCATCCAGAAATATAGTAAATAACCCACAAAATGCAATTATAACTTGAGGGGGATCATAAGCTTCTGGAGTGCAACAGTATTTGCCTCACATCTGGTTTATAGTAATCCACCAGGAAGGGAAACTTAATTAAGGGTGACAGGGAACTTAAGCAGGCATGGATACACAGGTAATCTAAGACCCAAATATCGTGTTTTAATCAGAATTTTTTTCTTTAATATAATAAAGTGTTTTGCATTAAATAAAAGAACAATGAATATAAGCAAAGTTATAGTAAAATAATGCCATAAGATGAATGATCAAGGAAATGTGTGTTAATAAATTATAAACTATTTTGTGTGCCTTTGAGAAGCATAATAGGATGGGAGAAATTTAGAATAAAGTATATAAATTATGTATATATAAAAATCAGCTGTGATCAAATGTGCTACCCTTCTTCCAAATGCAGCTGAAGATGTTCTGAAAGCAAAGGTTAAAAGCACTTAGAATGTGGGAAAAGGAGTGTATTCTAGAAAGTCAGAATTGCTGAGGAGACACTGGGTGCTCTCTTAGGCTAAGATTCTCTGAAGAGTCCTTTTATGTTGGCTGCTTTTTTCAGTACTTTTCCTTCAATTTTCCTGTCTGTGCTTTTTACTTTGAGACTGTCACATTTCAGTTCTTTATATCTTTGCTTTATTTTACCCTTTCAGAAGAGACACCAAGTTAATGCTTCCTCTAATCTCATACCTGCCAATAATGCGAAGGTCAGTACGAAGCCCAATGTCAGGAAGAACAGCTCTGCAGCAATGTTTCAATAATGGCAACACTTTGTGGAGCATGTTTTCTTCTAAAGTTATTATCAAGAAACCAAAAATAAAAATAATAAGTCTTTTAAATTCGCAAGACTAAAACATATCTTTCTTTCAGTCCTGCTGGCCTAGGCATAGACGAGTTAATGGCACTATTTTCGGTGGCATCTGTGAGCCATGTCAGTGCTTTGGTCATGCGGAATCCTGTGATGACGTCACTGGAGAATGCCTGGTAAGTGCTCTCTCCTTTGGGGATGCTGATTGACAAGGCTGAAGTCAGCTCAACAGACCCTGCAATTCAATTGCTACCTTTGGGACCTTAAACACTTAAAAAGTGCTTTGACCAAGATCTTTATATTGAACTGAGTTAAGAGCTGAGGATGCTCTTTCATATATGATCTTCCTTGCCAGTATTAGGGAGTATTTATTCATCCTAGTCCAAGAATTGAATTAGGATCAGTTACATTATTATAAAGTGTAACCAATGATTGGGATCCCTATCTATCATGAATGTGTATGATTTCCCTCTTTTCCATAAATCTACCAAAGGTAAACTATACTTCTAAAATAGGGAATGATTTGTATTCTCATAATATGAAAAGAATAAAATATAACCTTTGTAACAAACATACTTACTATTTTTATTAAAAATGAGAACATAATGCCCCTTTTTTTTTTTTTTTTTGAGAGAGGTTTTCACTATAGGGCGCATGCGCTCGCCAGACAGAGAGAGAGAGACATAGAGACAGAAAGCGAGAAATCACCCCCCAGGGGGGATGGTCATGCCACAATCCCTTCTCCTCCATTCTCCTCTCGGGATCTTGGAAATGCACACACATGCGCCCGGTGTGTGTTTTAAGCCACCAGGTCCAGGACGTGAACGGCAGTCGACTACGTGGGAGTCCAGTTACATAGCCATTACACTAACTGCTGGTTCCCAATGCCCTTTTAATTTAAAAAATCAGTGTTTAACTGAATACCAAGTGTCATATGTAGATTAGAAATATAAAATATATGTAATGCATATTCATCAGAGTTGCTTTCCCTTCTACAATTAACTCTATACTTTATGCAGAAAATAAGCTTTACAAGGTGCGAAGCACTTTTTATCCTGCTAAGAAGTCTTTGGACTGGAGAATTACGCTGAATAGACCATTCTGATTAACTCAAGGGCATGTTATTTTTATATTGTCTGACATGGTGGGAGGCTTGAAACATCACTTCTCATTTCATTAGTCTTGCAGAAACACAATTTGAAACAGTGCCAATTTAGGAGGATATCATACTCTCATTTCCCTGCAGAATTTAAGGCAGACTCCGTTATCTATAATTCGTAATGCTCTTTCTTCCTTTCTTTCTTCTTCTTCTTTTTTTTTTTAGCTCATTTTTCCTCCTTTTCTTCTATTTAAAAGCTTCTGTAGAAAATCCAAAATGAAGTTTGGGGCTCTTGTTTCAACATAATTTGGCATTTAGGTTTATTGATGATGCTCTTTCTGTTTTCTCTGTATAAGATTTTGTTTAATTGCATTGCAATGTAACACACGATAGCCTTAATTTGTGGATCAGTAGATTTTTCAAAAGACATTTTTATGAATAGAAAGACTATGTGATTTTCATTTTAATTATATCATAAGTCTTTTAAAATGTACCTTGGGAAAAATATCAAGTAACCCTTAAACACATTACTAAAATGCAGTAGGAGTTCAGCCCAGAACTGATATGCTTTTGCTTTACTTAGCCTAAAAAGATTTTTTTAAAGTATATCATGATACCAAAGTCATAATATTCCCTTAGTAATACTTGATGTTTAATTCATTAGAATAAAATCAACCCATGCTGCTGGCCCATTGATAATGTGATTTTTTTTTTTTTTTTTGAGAGGTTTTCGCTATAGGGCGCGTGCACTCGCCAGACAGACAGAGACATAGAGACAGAAAGCAAGAAATCACCCCTCGGGGGGATGGTCACGCCGCAATCCCTTCTCCTCCGTTCTCCTCCCAGGATCTTGGGCATGCACGCACATGAGCCCAGCGTGAGTTCTAAGCCACCAAGTCCAGGACGTGAACCGCGGTTGACTACAGGGGAGTCCAGCGACATAGCCATTACGCTAACTGCTGGTTCCCAATAATGTGATATTTCTAAGAATGGAAGCTATTTCTTTTTTTTTTTTTGAACAAACTAGTTTTAGTCAGCATAGTTTTAAAAGACAGAAAGAAAAACAGTGATATTTGAGAATTTCTACAAATGAAACCTGTTTTATTGATCCAGTTTCATGGACAAGGAAATAGTTTACTGTCAAATAATCGAGCAATCCTCAGGAACACAGTAAACAACTTGACAGAGACAGAATATGGTGCTCCCTGGATTTTACATTGTAGCTGGTAAATAGGTGATCATGGGCCAGCAGGTTGTATGGTGGTTAAAGGAACTGGACTCCCACGTGGTCGACTGTGGTTCGAGTCCCAGACCTGGCAGCTTGCTTTCTCACTCTCCCTCCCTTCTCTCTTCTCTCTCTCTCTGTCCCTCTCTGATCAAATTAAAAATAAATAGATAAATAATAAAAAGTTCAATAAAAATAGTCATAAAATAGGTGAACATGTAGGGTATTTCCTGAAGACTCTGAAAATAGCGTCCTTTCTCTGCAACGTAACTAAGTGCTGCTATCCGTTTTTGATTATATTGCTTTACAATGAAGGAAAATACTTGATTGTTGGACATTGTAAGCGTTCTTACTACTCAGCTGACCCCACATTTTAACTTCTTTTTTATTATGCATTTTTTTACTGCATTAAGTAGATAATTTGTGAAATTTACAGATAAACTGCTTTTTAACTTAGCTTGACTTTGAAATCAACTGAAATACCTTTTTGACATCAGAGCAAAATTCAGACCTTTGTAATGTGGGTCTATATAAAAAGGTCATTTTAGTTCAAAGGGCATTTGAAGACACTTGGGAAGAGTGCATGCTTGCTCTTACTATTCTTGTGATATGTGATGTGAACAAACATTTGAAAAGCACTTCTGTGGAAGGAATACCTGTAAAAATAACTAGCCCATCAGAGTTTAACTTTCATCTTTTCAACTTTTATTTACATTATATTGGTTGTCTGACGGTGTTTTACATTTTCAATGGCAAAAATTCTTAAGTTTTAAGATAATTTTTTAATTTCCATTTTAAGAAACATGGCATTAGGAACTGTAAGAAACCTCTACATGTTATTTCTCTTTTAAATCAATAGTTAAAGAAAAATGAGATCTCTGAGTAATAGAAGATTTTCAGTTGAGTTATACAAATACCGTTTTTAACCGAGTTAAGGCACAATCAGTTTTGTGATTCTATTTTCAAAACTCTAAGTCTTTGAAGATAACACTTTAATTATGTCAATATGACAATATACAATGAGTATTTCAAAGATATTTCTTTAGTAATAGCTAAGTTTAACTAAATTTGAAAATCAGAAAGAAGTAGTATGACGATCAAATCAAAGGACAAAGCTTTCTTTGAATGATCTATGTTTTGTATGTTGCATCTCATTATGCTCTGTTATTTAGACAGCCATTAATATTATAATGAAGTCAATCTTTTTTTTTTTTTGGAGAGATTTTCACTATAGGGGGCGTGCGCTCGCCAGACAGACAGAGAGAGACATAGAGACAGAAAGTGAGAAATCACCCCCCAGGGGGGATGGTTACGCCGCATTCCCTTCTCCTCCATTCTCCTCTCGGGATCTTGGGCACGCACGCACAGGCACCCGGCGTGAGTTTTAAGCCACCGGGTCCGGGACACGAACCGCGTTCAACTACGTGGGAGTCCAGCAACATAGCCATTACGCTAACTGCTGGTTCCCAATGAAGTCAATCTTTATGCTATATTTTACAAAGTTTTGCTAGATAAATTTGTGAAATGATTTAAACTAGCTTAAATAAACCTATTTCTAAGTTTTGTCACTTACTACAGAAATATATATTCACCTGTAGTTAATGAAACTGACTTGAAATTTCAAAACTTAAAAGCTTTATAAATCATTGACTTTAGCTCCTACTGTAAATGGGACATTCAGAGAGTTTAATGATTGGATTATAATTTAGATAACTTCCACTTAATAAATAAATTGACCTTCCCCATGAATTCTAATAAGCTATTGTTAACATATGTATACTTATTTCTTTGTTGTTTTTTTTAATTGGTAAAATCCATTTACTAAATGTAATTGAAATTGAACTTATTTTGTAATATATTGAAATGAATGATAATTCAGAACTTCATTAACTTAGTCTGACCATTCTAACAGTCATCTAAATCAATATACTATACTCTGTGTTTAAAGTTGTTTCCCCTCAATGTTTTCATAATACAGCATGAATTTTAGGGGTGCACCAAAACCATAGCAGAAGTTAATTTATGTATTAGCTATTTCCTTCACAAATTTGCTTATTGATTGTAAAAATAAAGAGTGTTTAGCCCTGAGTTCTTTCTGGTAACCCATATCAGAGAAGATTATAATTGCCTATTCTATTAAATTAAAAATGTATCTCAGTAATTATGAGTCCATGCTGTATAATATTTCAGAGTAGTTAGATATTCTTTTCTGTACCTGTGTAGGCTAGAGATGCGTACATGATACAAATAATTAGTAAAAAAGATTATTAAATTGTGCTATAAGAAGCTTGAGACAGTTTTACAGCTTGATTTACTGAATTGTTCACCTTTATCCAGGCCTTGGGAGTTTAATGAACACAGCCTGAATTGAGGAATATACTTTGATCAATATGAAGAAATCAGGACATTTTTTTTCCTTAATTTCAATTTTTGAAAAAGTTATGAATCGAAAGGATACTATTTGGCAGGAAATGCACTTTCAGTTTTCTTTTATAAATTGAGAGAAACTACTCTGTGCCATTTGGTTTTATTGTCTGTTGCTATATGTTTTAACTGTTTCAGTCTTGAATTATGAGTCAGCCAACTCCTTTTAGGTGTGATACAGTAGTGTATCATACTAACCATCAGAGTCCACTAAGGGCAAAATTAGTGTCTGGCTAAGAGAGCACAGTCCTGGAGGATTCATATGGTTAACCACAATTCTCATTAAATCAGCAGTTCTAAGCCCAACAACTGATTTTTACCTAGAATCAGCTACAATTTTCATTATATCTGTTATTAGGCCTCTATAACTACACACACATACACACACATACACACGTGTATTTCTTTAAAAGAAAAATTTGAAACTAAAAAAAAATGAGAAAATAAGATTTATATAATAAAAAAATTATAATGAATTTTAGTCATCTCTTTGTAAGCATGCATATGCTAAAATTAGCCTGTGGTTTATATGCTGGATATTAAATTAACTTTCAGTGCTAGTTCCCTGCTGTAAAATTGACCATTTAATGTGGAAAAATTATTCTTCTTAGTGGGGAACAGACTCATGATTTTGCAGACCTATATTTGGCAGCTCATTGTTGCTTGGGCCCAAAATAATAAATTCTGATATGAATTTCTTCCTCAGAACTGTAAAGATCACACAGGTGGTCCTTACTGCAATGAATGTCTTCCTGGATTCTATGGCGATCCTACCAAAGGAACAGCTGAAGACTGTCAGCCCTGTGCCTGCCCGCTCAACATCCCATCCAATAGGTGAGCAGCAGAATTGCCTCACTAAGAAGTTTGGCATTCAGTTCTGCAAGTGCCTTTTGATAGTAAATGTATCCTTTCTTTTTTCATACATAAATAATACATAGACGCAAACATTCCTAAGAACAGTAAGATGAATTTTTCCAAGTATAAAATATCTAAAATCATGACTATCCCTCAGAACCTTCATTATTTTAGCTCTATTTTTGCTAGTTTATTATCTAAGAGATAGAATGCAAAGGAAATTTCTAACCCAGTTCCAAGGAACAGACATCATTTATACAAACACATACAGGTACATGTGTGTACATACTTGCACATGGGCACATTTATACATCTTTATATATTAAGAAAAAGACCATCAATATAATCACTGCTCATTTGGGTCCTAGTCTCACTCTATTTGTAGATCTTGAACAAGTCAGAAACCTCTCAAAAGATAAAATAAAAGGATTGATCTAGCTGAACTTTAAGAATCTGTCCTATCCTTTACTTAGCGTATGATATATCATGTTTCTAATATGTGTGTGTGTGTGTGTGTGTGTGTGTGTGTGTGTAGTTTGAATGGTATATTATATTTTGTCATGTCATCTAGAAAGTCATGATGTGTTTCTGTATGTTTTTCAATGCAGCAGTGTGTCATGACTTTCCTGACAACCCAGTATAATAAATTATATGAATATCAAGCTATGAATAATTACTATCTTATTTTGCACAAATTATTTAGATTCTGAAAAAGTTTAATGTAAACTCTATACAATTTTCTTGCCATTGTTTCATTCACTTTCTAACTATATGCCTAAAGAATAAGTAGACAAAAAATAAACAAAAACTCGAAGACTTAGACTACCTCTTCCCATTACCTTTTAGGGAAACACTCTTGTCTTCATTCATATTCTCTCAGGGCAAGCATTTCTAAGTTCAAACCTCAAAACTACTTTTTTAAAAAATATTGAGCAAAATACAACAATTTTTACTAGTAAATAATTTTAAACATTGCAATTTTAAAGTAATTTCTTTATTTGGGAAGTCTATTCAAGGCAAGCTCGGTGCTTGAAAAAAGTTCGTATTATATTATGCATTTATCTGGGGCAAGCAGTTGGCTTGGTGATTAAGGTGCTAGACTCCCACATGGCCAAACACAGTTTGATCCCAGACCAGGAGGCTTGCTTTCTCTCTTTCTCTCTATTTCTGGTGAGTGCATGTGTGCTATAGAAAATTAAATAATAATAATAAATAAAAATGAATAAATAATTTCTTATGCATTGCCAGCTATTTTTAAATGCCATGACAATGCATGCAGAGTAGAAATTGTAAATGATCTTTAAATGAAATTTGTCAACTATAGTCTTATAATGTAAAAGTGTGATCAAATAGGTCATACCCAAGATGTAACTAATTAAAATGGTCTTTTTAAATTAGATGTAATGAATACTACAAGTTAAAGATTGAGAAAAATTCTCTCATTGACTTAAAAAGTCTTCACCGGAATTGTGCTTCAACTCGCTTGAAGTCCTTATCCTCCCAACAACTCTTCTCCCTCTGAGTTTTCTAATTTACTAATTGTTTGGAAAAGAATGAACTAATATTAAACAAAAGCCAATTATTATATTCTAGGCATAGAGTCAGGCACTATATTTGGTATTAGTTCACTTTTAAATATGACCCAATAAGGTGACTACAAATATCCCCAACTTATAGATGAAGAAATGAGGTCTCCAAGTGGAGAAATAATATTATGGGTTCAATTACAAAGCCAAAATTCCTTGGCTTAAGTGCTGGGTGCCCTACTTTTTAGCTGTGCAACTCTGGGCAAGTTACTTAAACTTCCTGTGCCTCAGTTTCCTCAATATTAGTTGTGATAATAGGACTGTTCCATAGGGTTTTTGTAAGAAATGCATAATTAAACTATGTAAAGAACCTAAAGCAGTGGTTAGACACAGTGAGTCCATAAAAGTATTGTGTATTGTCTGCTATAAAGTAACTTGCTCTGAGTCATAAAGTGTTAAAGTATCAGAGTAGGTTTTAAACTTCATGTGAAGTGCAGTCCTCTATAGCCTAAACTGAGGAATTAACACACACATACCCACACACACATGCACATTTTAAGTGATAACACTAAAAGCAATTAATTCATCTTCCAGGTAAGTCAAATTTCCTAGCATGACTTAGAAAAAGAGAAATTGGTTTAATGTGTATTAACTATCGAAACATTTCCAGAGCTTAGAGTATGAACCCAGATGGACACAAAACTAAAGATATTTTGACAACCCAGGGTGTCAGAGAAGAGGAAAATATCAAGAGTGAAATGTATTAGAAAATAATAAATATAGGAAATATAAGAGAACAGATTAAATAAATTTATTCACAGTTCATGGCGATTAAACCCTATGTTGGTCATCATATCAAAACTTGCTGTCTGGTGTATCTGTGAAGGGCACACTATGGAAAAACCTACTCATTACCTTTGGGTGAATGCCATTCTCATATCTGAAACTCACTGATCAAGACTTAGCTCTACTAAGGACAGTAGAGGGATTGCATCTGGCCACTCACTACTGCTGTATCTCCTCAGCCAAAATGGTATAGATGTTATTGGAGCTATTCAATACAGTAGAGCTTGTCATTTCATTGCATGCTGCAAATTCATTTTTAGAACTGAACAATTGATTAAATATATAGACCTTATGCATTTACCCTCAAGTCTGACCAACAGTACTATTAATGCTGTGGAGCCATTAGGAACAGAATTTTGCTTGGGCAAATTCATGATCCATTTTTGTCCCTAAATTTGCTGTTTTTTCTTCTTTGATAATGGACTCTAATTGAATTATTTCCTAATAGAATTAATGGGCTCTAATAGAATTATTCAAAAAGTATTAAAACACAATCCATCAGTGCCAAAGGAATTGGGGCCCCAGGGTCCAATGATGGTATTTCCTTAAATATGTGTATTCCAATTTGGTATAATTAAGATTATCTTGATTTTTCAAAACAATAGTAACAATACCAAGAATACCAGGTATTTAAAGATTATTAAAATTTCCAAACTACTTTTTATTTAAAGTAAAGAATTATTAAATTATTCAGTAATACTTTTATCTTTAGTAGTAGAATTGGGAATAAAGTAGTGACCTATTTTAAATTCCAGCTTTGTAATGTCTTTTTATAGGTAGAATGAGAACATGGTAATGAATGCTTAGTTTGTAAATCCTGTAAGTTTTGTGGTTTAAGTCTTTTAAATTGAAAACAATTTAGAAAATTATTATAATTTATTTATAAAATTGTGATGGGAAAATTTATTTAATCTTATCAACTGAAATCTTTGAAAAAAAAATCACTAAACAACAGGATACTTGGTGACCAGGAGAAACCATTCTTCATAAATTTTTTAAAAAATTACTGTTATGATCTGAGTTGCAAACTCTGAGATATAATTTTAATGCTTTCATATAATCCTGAAGACGGAATTTGAATTTTCATAGGTGATTTAGGAAAAAAAAAAGCTAAAGGTTGCTGCAACCTTCATTTGAAGTGTAAGGCTTAGTGCTAGTTTTGCCTTGGTGATTTATCTATTTAATCCCTGCTCATAAATCTTAAAGATCACAAGCATTTTGGCTCCAAATTTCTTAGATAATATTGCTAAATAAATCAAATGTGTAGGAAGATAGAGATAGATTGGTATAATTATTATGATGTATGAATACAGACAAGCATATAATATTTAAATTATACATATATATCAACTTCATCAACTATTTACAGTGTCCACAGTTTGCCTGGCCTTCTCATCTTGATGATGTATATTTTCTAGCTATAGATTATAACTAGGTCGTGAAATTTATCTATAGGGAGCAAATAAAAATGTAAATATTTCAAGGTTTTATATTCATTAATTTCTGACATCACATACTTGTAGGCTAAGACATGAAAGAGACACATGAATGTCTGCTCTTGAATATTTAGGATGTATTCAAATGTATTGAAATCATTATAGATTTTCATATCAGAGTTTCATAATATCAGAGTTCATGTGTGTGTGTGTTTCATTTTGTTTTTATTTTTGTTTTTGTTTTATTTGCACAAGGCTGGACAGAGTTCTTTTCTTTTTCCCTTTCTTTTTAATTGCCAGAAAGCACAAGTGGTGGCCAGAGACAGAAAAAGAGAGAAAACACTCTGCCTCTCTTCCCCTGCATGAGGTATTGTGGTGGCACAATCCCTTCTCCTCCATTTCTCTGTCTTGTAGGGATTTGGGGCACCTTGCACATATGCCCAGCATGCTTGTCAAGTGGCCGGGGACAAGATTAGAACTGCAGTCAGCCATGTGGAAACTGCTCCTTTAACTGCTAGACTATAGACCAGCCCAATAATTTCTATCTACTAATATCCTTGTGAATTCTACTACTTTGTGTGTATCCGGAATACTAAAACTTCAAAACTTTTAAAGAATGTCACACTTCTAGAGCTGACTCTTGGGCACTCAAGAAGTCATACTGACTTATTAAAATTAATACTCATGGGGCCAGTAGATGGCATAGCAGTCATGTTGCTGGATTCCCACATGGCTGACCGGAGTTTGTGTCCCAGACCCACTGGCTTGAAATGCATGCTAGGCGCATATGCGCATGTGCCCAAGGTTCCAGGAAAATGGAGGAGAATAGACGAGAAGAGATTGCAACAGAACTTTTCCCCTGGGAGGTGATTTCTCACTTTCCCTCTCATTGTCTCTGTCTGTGTCGCTCTCTCTTCGGTGAGAGCATGTGCCCTAAAGCAAAAACCTCTACCAAAAAAATTAATACTCGTAGTAGTTAAATATATTTCAAGTCAAAAGGTTGCTTTAAGAAAACATCTAACAACAAAATTCTTCAGAAATATGAGAGTGCTTTAAATATTTTAGAGCTTTTTTCTACATATTATTTTATGTCCACATAGATGATTACTAGTCCTGTATACCAGAGAGGAAAACAAAAATACATAGAAATTAAATGCTTTCATCCTGATCT